GCTACATACATACATGCATACATGCAGACAGACAGGCATACATACATACATACATACACACATACATACATACATTAATACATTGCATACTTGAATACATAATACACACAATCAAGCTTGCATGCATACATACATACGTACGTCTATACATACATACACACATACATACATACATACAAAAACGCAGATATGCATACACACATACATGCGTACATATATGCATGCATACATACGTGCATATATACATACATCCATACATACATGCATACATACAGACATGCATGCATACATACATACAAACGAACACACATGCATGCAGACACATACACACATATAGTACATGCATGCGATGTATTTATGCATACGTACATACATGTATGCAGTCATACATGCATACATACATGCATACGATAACTCCCGTATGTCTACATGCATGCACACACACCCATACACACATACGCAGCCACTAGTACACACATGCATACCTGCATGCATGCACGCATACATGCATCCATGCATGCATGCATGCATAAATGCATACTTGCATACGTGCATACTTACATATTTGTGTGCGTACACACATACATACTTACATGCATGCACGCATACATGCACACATACATGCATACACGCATACATACGCACACACACATTTATATGCATACAGACAGACATAGAACTGTATACATATGTACATATGATACACATATACATATTGATATGCACAGAAGCCATACCGACGTACACATTTGTTGAATACCTACATGTCGATAAATAAAAATGAAACACATCAGTGTGCATGGCCTATAAGGCTGCGGTTCATAGCTCGGGTCTCCAGCGACCGTTCGGGACGGCTCCGGTGGCCCCACTGGGCGTGTCGCGCCCCGCGCAGCGCGACACGCGGCTGCAACGGGAGCCCTCGCGCCGCCGCCCCGAAGGAGGGCACCCTGGCGGCCCTGGCACCCCTGCGGGTGGCTTACCCTCCTCCTCCTCCTCCTCCTCCTCCTCCTGATCCTCACGGTCGCCCTCCTCCTCCTCCTCCTGCCCTCCTCCTCCTCCTCCTCCTGCCCTCCTCCTCCTCCTCCTGCTCCTCCTCCTCCTCCTCCTGCTGCCCACCCTCCTCCCGCGTTGGAAGGGAAGGGGTGTCGAAGGCAAGCACGCCACTGGCGACAGGGCCCTCGACAGCGACAGCATGCGGCAGCAACTGAGTGCAAAACCACCTTACGAACTCCTCCACCTCCTCCTTCCTCCCTCCTCCTTCCTCCCTCCTCCTCCTCCTCCTCCTCCTCCTCTCCGCCTCCTCCTCCCGGCCACCCGGGCTAATGGCCCGATTCCTCCTCCCCCCTCCTTCCTCGTCCTCCTCACCCCCCTTATCTCCTCCTCCTCCACTCTTCCTCCCTCCTTATCCTCCTCCTCTCTTTCCTCACCTTCCTCCTCTCCTCCTCCTCCTCCTCTCCTCCTCCTCCCTCCTCCTCCTCCTCCTCCTCCTCCTCATCCGCCTCCTCCTCCTCCTCCTCCTCCTCCTCCTCCTCCTCCTCCTCTCCTCCTCCTCTCCCCCTCCCCCCCTCCCCTCCCCTCCCCCTCCTCCTCCACAATTACTCAATATGAAAATACTCTCCCTCTTCCCCTGATGGCGTCCGGGTGATGGCCGCGCACCCTCCGCGTACTGTTTTTTAACACACAGGATTCCAGGGAAATCCCGGGAAACGACTCTCGCTGAGGCGCCGGCGTCATTTTTTTCCCAAAATGCTGCTCTCGTTGAGGCGCCGGCCTCATTTCTGCTCCCGAATCGTTCCGAATCGTGCTCCCGCTGCAGCGTGGGCCTCATTTTCGGATCGGTGTTTGGCCCCCGTCGTTCAGGATGGCGTTCTCGCCCCAGCGCGGGCCTCTTTCTCGCGCGCCCATCCGCCCGCCACCACCGCGCCGCACCACCACCACCACCACCACCACCACCACCACCACCACCACCACCACCACCACAACCACCACCAGCACCAGCACCAGCACCAGTACCACCACCACCACCACCACCACCACCACCACCACCACCACCACCACCACCACCACCACCACCACCACCACCACCACCACCACCACCACCACCACCACCACCACCACCACCACCACCACCACCCCCACCACCACCACCACCACCACCACCACCACCACCACCACCACCACGACAACCACGCACACACGCACGCACGCACGCACGTGCAGTGGGGCGACCCACGTGGGTGGGGGGGGGTGGGACGGGGGCCGGGCGGCGGTCGTGCTGAGGCGGGTGAGGCGAGAGCTTCCGTCGACGTACACGCTTCGTCCGCGGATAAGAAAATCAGCGCCATGGTAAGGGATGGGAGGGGGGTAGACGTCAGATATGACGCGAGCGCCCTAGCTTGCCTGTCTCCCCCTCCTCCTCCTCCTCCTCCAATCCTCCTCCTGCTCCTCCTCCTCCTCTCCTCCTCCTCCTCCTGCTCCTCCTCCTCTCCCTTCCTCCTCCTCCTCTCCACCTCTTTCTCCTCCTCCTCCCCCTATCCTCCTCCTCCTCCTCCTCCTGCTCTCCTACTTCCCTATCCTCTTCCTCGACTCCGCGTCAATCAGCTTACCTAGCCTTTTTCTCCTCCTCCCCTCCTCTCCTCACTCATCTTCCTCCTCCTCTTCCTCCCCTCCTTCGCTCTCCTCCTTCCCTCCTCCTCCTCCTGCGTCGCGTTCTTATCATCAGCATCAGCATCAACATCAGCATCGGCATCATCAGCATCGTCATCATCATCATCATCATCATCATCATCATCATCATCATCATCATCATCACCATCATCAACAGCGTCATCATCAGCAGCAAAAGTATCAGCAGCATCATCATCAGCAGCATCAGCATCAGCATCAGCTTCAACATCATCATCAACAGCATCACCACCACCATCACCATCAGCATGACCATCGCCGTCACCATCACCACCATCATCATAATCATACTCATCATCACCATCACCGTCACCATCACCATCATCATCAGCAGCATCAGCATGATCAGCAGCATCATTATCATCATCAGCACATGCATATGAGTCTTCATCTTCAGCATCATCAGAATTATTGTCATGATGATGATGATCAGGATCATCATCATCATCATCATCAGCATCATCAACGTCATCATCAGCAGCACCGTCAACCTCACCACTACCATCACGATCACCATTATCATCATCATCATCATCATCATCATCATCATCATCAGCATCACCATCACGGTCACCGTCGTCATGAGCATCACCACCACCGTCACCACCACCACCATCATCATTATCATAATGATCTTCATCATACTCCTCATCCTCATCATCATCACTACCATCAGCATGATCCTCACCCATATCATCCTCACCCTCGCCATCGTCCTCATCATCATCAGCATCATCAGCATCATCGCCATCATCAGTATCACCATCACCACCACCATCGTCATCATCATCATCATCATCATCAGCATCATCAGCATCATGATCATCATCATCGTCACCATCATCACCATCACCATCTTCTGTATCATCATCATCAGCATCATCATCACTACCATCAGCAGCATCAGTAGCATCACCATCATCAGCAGCATCATCAACATCATCCTCATCATCTTCATCATCAGCCTTAGCATCCTCATAATAAGCAGCAGCACCATCATTATCAGCATCATAAGCAGCACCATCATCATCCTCATCATCATAATCATCAGCATCATCAACATCATCATCGTTATCATCACCACAACCATCATCACCGTCAACATCACTATCACCATCAGAATGACCGTCGCCATCCCCATCACCATTATCATCATCATCATCATCATCATCATCATCATCATCATCACCATCATCATCATCATCATCATCATAAGCATCATCATCATGATCAGCATCATCACCATCACCATCACCATCACCATCACCATCATCATCATCATCATCATCACCATCACCATCATCATCATCATCATCATCATCATCATCGTCATCGTCATCGTCATCGTCGTCGTCGTCCCCCCTCCTCCTTCCCAGCATCACCATCATCAGCAGCAGCATCATCATCAGCATCAGCATCCGCATTAGAAGCAGTACCATCACCATCATCACCATCATCACCATCATCATCATCATCATCATCATCAGCATCATCATCATCATCATCATCATCATCATCGTCGTCGTCGTCGTCGTCGTCGTCGTCGTCGTCGTCGTCGTCGTCGTCGTCGTCGTCGTCGTCGTCGTCGTCGTCGCCGCCCCTCCCCCTTCCCCCACCCTCTCTAAACCATCCCCGCACCATCCTTTTGCTCGTCGCGGAACGCCGGGCTCTAGGCGTCGTGCGGGTCGGCGCGTGCCGCGGGTCGCTCACTGCGGCGCCGCCGCGGGCACCGCTGGGCGTCACGGTGACCCAGGACGCACTTACGAGGAGGGCGTTGGGTCTGGAGGAGGAGGAGGAGGATGATGAGGAGGAGGAGGAGGAAGAGGAGGAGGAGGAGGAGGGAGGACGATGGAGGAGGAGGAGGAGGAGGAGGAGCTGGAGCAGGAGGAGGAAGAGGAGGAGGAGGAGGAGGCGAGAGGAGGACGGAGGAGGAGGATACAGAAGATGCCCTCAAGATCTTGGGGAGCCACCAGTAGCTCCACCAGCGCTTGTTTGGATGTGTGAGGTTTCCCAAGAAGATGGGACCCCATGTGGCCTCGTGTTCCAGGATCGTACTGCTTGGTATGCCCACATGCGATTCTCGAAGGAGGGCACCCATGGACACAGAGCCCTCAGTAATGTCTTCACAGTCACCAGCCAGGTCCTCTGATGCATGTCCGTTCTGTCCAATAGGCACATTGCTCGTCAGCGTGTTCGACGGCTCTTCCTTTCCCGCAGGTGTCAGACCGACAGAGGACACGATCAGTATCCGATAGTCCAGCCCGACACTCCCCTCTGCCCCGCTTGTGGCCGTGATCATGATAGTTTGGAGGCTCTTCAGGTTCACATTCGTAGTCACGTCGCACTGGATTATGCTGCTTACTTTTCCTTCGACAGACCGAGAGATGAGTTGGATGGCGTGAGACTTGGGACCGATCTTGGGCGAGGCGAAGAAACGCCTAGCCGGCTCTCAGGACAACTTCTCCGCTAGTGGCTACGGAAAGGGTCGACTTCGCAGACCGCGCAAACAGCAAGCAGTCCCGCTCGGGGCCACGGGACCCGCAGCAGCAGCAGCAGCCACATTTGCCGAGATGGAGGTCGAGGGCTCCGATTCCTAGGACGGGACGGCGCTGAACACGGTCAAGGGTATTTTCAGTGTACAGCAACGGACCCGAACCCTGGAGTTATTTCTATTCTTCTTGTGCCGAAGGAGTGTGAGATCAACCCATATGTACATGCAAAAAGCCCGAGGACGATCCCAAGGCCCAACTGGGCCCGCCGTCGTTGACCTTCGCCATGGCAGTCTTGGAGGTTCTCGTGGCGCAGCAAGTAGTTCAGGACAGTTTACTACTCAGGGCGGAGTATCAGGGGTTGAAGGGCCTCGATCAGAGAATCAACGGGGAGAACATGGACACCGCAGCAGAATGCATCGAGTATTGGAGGGCCGAAACCACGTTTGCCAAGGCAGGGGATGAGATACGAGTGCGGCACAGCTTTTACATCCATGCGTTCGTGCCCATCGGCGAACCCACGAACATGCTGATCGTGCCAGCCAACCTCCTGATCAGCAAGCTGCTGACACCCGTGGGGTCAGAGATCAAGCCAGGCCCCCCGCCGCGAGCGACGACCGAGAGGAAACTTCAGAACTCACTCGATAAGATGCTCAAAGGCCGCAGCCACCACATGAGGCACTGAGATCCCTGTCTGAAGGAAATCCGAGTCGATGTTTTTCTTCTCGCGCTTGGGCCAGTGCAGAATGGCACTATGCGGGATGATTGCGTTAAGCCTCTCGACCTTAACGTTATTCAGGGTGCCCCCATGACTGGATAACTAACCGTGGCGGAGGTACCGAATTTTGTATCGTGTTCGAGGGTTCTCCACTCTTGATGCGAACAGTGGTCGACGTGCAGATTACCGTGAAGATGCAGCAGAAACAACACAGTCTGATAGCCAGCCAGCCAGCCTCCTCCCACTCCTCCCCCTCCCCCTCCTCTTCCTCCTCAGCCGTTTCTTCTTCCATTTCCTCATCACCCTCATCCTCCTCATCATCATTACCACCAACCTCCTCTCATCCTCCTCCTCTCCTCCTTCTGGCGCGCCCGTCGCCGCCGCGCCCGCCTGGGGGGAGGGGGTGCGCGGCGCGCGGGCCGCTGGAGGCCTTTTCGGCCCCTCCCCAGCTGGATGACGACGACGACGAGGACGACGACGACGACGACGAGGACGACGAGGACGAGGACGAGGATGAGGAAGACGACGACGACGACGACGACGACGACGACGACGACGACGACGCGCCGTGGGGGGGGGGGGGGGGGGGCGCGCGCCGGCCGCTTCTCGGACGCCCTTCCGTCAAGCAGCAGCGAGCACGCCTGGCCGAAGGTAGTGCGTCGCCGATCGCCTCTCTTAAATCCTGTGCACAGCAGGCCGTCAAACAAATATTTGGACCGCCGCCTGCCTCGCCGCGACCCGTGTTCGGCCGAAGGGGTCGCGTTTGTTCGGTGTGCTCGGTCACAGGTTGAGTTGATGATCCATCGTTTCTCTCTCTCTCTCTCTTTCTCGTTTGTTGTTCTTGATGTTCTCTTTCTCTCTCTCTCTCTCTCTCTATCCGTCTTTCTCTTCCTCTCGCTCTCTGTCTCTCTCTCTCTCTCTTTTCTCTCTCTCTCTCTCTTTCTCTCTCTCTCTCTCGCTGCATTTTTATATTATATGCACGGCTTTCACTCGCACGCTGGGAGGAGGCCCATGGGCCTCCTGGACTATCGTGTGCAGTTCACCAGCTGTCATGGGCCATAGCCGTCGGGCCGCTGGGAAAAGGGAAAGTCATAACCACCGCCGTCACCATCATCATGAACATCATCACCATCAGTATCATCATGAACACCGTCACAGTACAGAGCGTCGCATTCGACTGCGAAGAAGAACGTCGCGTCCCCTCGGTCGTTTTCCAGTTCCCATTCCTCCTGGTGTTCCCCCCCTCCATCTGCTCCTCGATGGTTGAGGATTCGGTTGTGCGCGTGAATTTGTGCCCTGCCGGTGGGTCCAGCGTGTCTATGCTGCCTCGGACCTGGCCTGCGCCCGCGCCCGCTGCCAGCTCAAACCCGAATCCGCCACGCAGCTGGGCACGCGGCCGCGACGCCAAAAAGTGCGCGTGAGTGTGGTTGTGTTTTTGCGCGAGTGCGCATTTGTGTGTGTATTGTGTGTACGTGTTGTGTGTGTGTGTCTGTTTTGTGTGCGTTGTGTGTATGTGTGTTGTGTGCGTTGTGGGCGTTGCGTGTGTGTTGTGTTTTGTGTGTGCGTGTGCGCGCGTGCGTGTGTGGCCGACCTGCGCGCGCTAGTTCTGCGCCTTTTGGTCGATGCGTGCCTAGAACGGGTGGTTGGTGGTACCCCCCTCGCAGTTTGTGTGTTGGTATTGCTTCGCAGCCGTTCCGAGTCCGACTCTGAATTTTCCGCTTCGTGCCCCCAGGACTTGCATGTTCCACGCTGCGACGGCCTCCTGCGCATGGGACTGGGCGGGGGGGGAGAGAAGGGGCGGCGGCAAAGGTGTGAGGGGAGCCCGGGAGGCACAGCCAGCGCGCTCGAACAAGGATAACGTGTGGTTCAGAAGTGGTTTCGGGGTATGCCCTGTCGCCAGTGCCTTGTCGCAGGCTGGTGCCCTGCCGCAGGAGCCCAGCGAGAATGTCGCCATGCACTTTGGCACCCAGAAAAACTTCTCGGATGGGCTCATCGAAGATTATCAGGACGTGTGTTAGCCCAATGTGTGCGTCAACCCGCTCAGCCCAACCAGGCGATCATCACATTGGAGAGAGCGCGTTTCACGGGCGCTTGCCTTGGGAACATTCGGCGGCGCGTTTCGAACCTGGGGGGGGCCCCCCCCCCCCAACACTCGGCGCCGTCGATCGAAACCAGGGGGACCCCCCAACCCCCCCCCCATCCCGAACCCCGACCCCCTCCCAAGGGTGCTCCCCCCCCTTCGGCGCCAGCGCCGGCGGCCGCCAGCAGCGCCGACGGTTGGGACGCAGCGGCGATGAACAGAGGCAGTCCTAGGGGTGGGGGGTGTTCCCCCCCCCCCTGGCGCCGAGGGGGGGGGTAAACCCACCCCCCTGGCGCCAGCGCCGGCGCCGCGGCGGCCAGCAGCGCTGGCGCTGCGCCGGCGACGGCGGGGACGCATCGACGACGATAGCTACGATTATACCAACCACCACAGCCACCACCACCACCACCAACACCACAACCACCACAACTCACCATCACCACCACCACCACCACCACAAAAACCCACCACCACTACCACCACCACCACAATCTACAACACCACCACCACCACCACCGCCACAACCACCACCACTACCAGCAGCACAACCCGCCGCCACCACCACAAACCACCACACCACCACCACCACCACCACCGCCACCACCACCAGCACCACCTCCACAAACCACCGCCACCACCACAACCCACCACCACCACCACAACTCACCATCACCACCACCACCAAACCACCACCACCACCACTACCACCACAACCCACCACCACTACCACAACAAACCACCACCACACCACCACCAAACCACCACCACCACCACCCACCACCACAACCACCCCCACCACCACAACAAACCACCACACCACACCACCACCAAACCACCACCACCACCACAACCCACCGCCACCACCACAAACCATCACCACACCACCACCACACCACCACCACCACCACCATCCACCACCACAACCACCACCACCACAACAAACCACCACACCACTACCACAACCACCACCACCGCCACCACCTCCACCACAACCCACCACCATCACCACCACCACCACCACCGTCGTCCTCGTCGACGCTCCCCGCCGCCGCCGCCCGCCGCCGCAGGCGCCGGCGCCGGCCCAGAAAAGGAACTCGCGCCGACGCCGGCCCAGAAATGTTGATCGTCGTCCCCGCCGCCGCCGCCGCCAGCCGCCGCCGACACAAGCGCTGGCCCGAGGAGAAGGAGAGAGGATACGTAGGGGAGGAACGTGGGGGGGAGGTTCGAAACCCTCCTCCCCTCCGTCAGGGGAGGGGGGGGGGTCGGTTCCCCCCCCCCCCTCAAAGCGACCACAGACCGCGTTTTTTTTACATCGCCTTCATCGTAGTGAATGGCCTCAGTGGGCAAACGCACGTTGGCGCTAACGCACGTTTTGAGGATTTTTGACCTCACCCACCGCGGTGCTCTTTTGCGGGGTCTATTACGAAAACGTTTCGGTCGATAGCCTTCAGATAGCCATGGTAATGTTGTTCGGTTCGGCAAGAGCTGGTGCTACTCGAGTTTCTTTCATGCCTACTTCGGGCGATCCTTGTAAGTTGTAGGCCTGGCCAGCCAATATGGATCTTCGTTCCCGATGCAAGACGTTTGCTGCATGCGCGCTCGTCAAACTGTCCCACCTTGTCCACTGTTCCACCACGAGGCTCTTTCTTCATGACGCTTCGCGTATCCCAGTCAGCCCGTCCAGCAGCGATGCCCATGCGAATTGCCCTGACCAGGGAAGTGTCGGATAATGCAGGGCAGTGAAGACAGAAAAAAAGGGAACCACGGAGCAGAAAAAACAGGACACGGACAACGCGCGTTCGTGAAACAGGGGGGCGACAGTGGTGAACTCAGAGCTTTCTCGGGGCTCCCTGGAGATTCCGGATGGGGTGGATGGGTGGCGATGGGGGGGGAGGGAGGTGCAGGGGAGGGAAGGGGAGGTGGAGGAGGGTGGGGGTGGAGGGGAGGGGGGACGGAGGGGGGCGAGGGGGAAAGGGGGGGAGAGGGCAATGGATGCCAGGGTGGAGGGGGGGGGGGGGCGTGGAGGAGGGGGCCTGGAGGGGAAGCAGCTGGAGTGGGATGTGGATGGGGGGGTGTCTTGTGGAGAGGACGCCAGATTCTGCTGCCCCGGTACAGCAGCACGAAACCACAACCAATGGGGAGAAAGGAAAGCGGCATCGTCCCAACAGACACCGACCACCATCTCGCCCACGGCTCGACCACGACGACACGGAAGTATCCCAGGGGCGGTGTGTTGCTCCAGCAGGGGGGAACATCCCACCATGCGTAGTAGCCAAAACACAGGAGAGACGCGAGACTCCTGTCATGCAGCTTCAAGGAAGATCAACAAAAGGTAGATCAGTGCGAAGTAAAAGCAACGCTAAGGTAGACCAGTAAAAAGGTTGATCGATGCTCCTCGGGACGAGCTGCTTGAGATTCGCCCCTGACGCCACTTGGACTTGGCCTGCGGCGTCCCGCGATAGGACTCGTCACGGCACCGCTGGCATCGCCCACCCGCCTTGCAGCCACCTCTCGTGAAGCAGCGGGTGCAGACCACCTCGCAGGGCTCGTTTCGATTCCTCCGATTCGATTCGATTTCGATGGCTTCCAAATCAGATTCGATTCGATTCGGGGTTCCAATTCGGGCTCCGACTTCTCCTTGGAGACCTGCTAGCCTGCCGCTCTCCGCCGCTCCGACTTTTCCAGATTCGGCTGCCGATTTCCGCCGACCCGATCCATCTCGATCGCGGACCTGGCTCGTGGATCCGATGCTGGGGCCTCCTGCCTCGCAGGGCCAGGCCGGCACGTCGCGGTCGGGCGCAGCTGTGGACGGGCAGGCCTCGGAGAGGAGGAGGAACAGGAGGAGGAGGAGGAGGAGGAGGAGGAGGAGGAGGAGGAG